ATATATCAGCAAAACAGGTGGAAAACAAGACTACATTGTGGCTGAGCACAAAGCATTCAAGCAGCTGATGTGTAAAAAATGAACAAATGAAGAGTGATTTGTGGCACAGTTATGTAATGCCACTAGTACATCAAGAGTAAGTATTTGCAATGTAATGGATTTGCAGTGTACTTTCACAAAATAACCTGTGGTTTTATTTTAGCCATCCTACATGCAAACCATGGGTAAGCTATGAGTAGCTATCAGTAAAATTGCAAACATTGTTTCCTGTAAACTGTAAGTGAAATGTGGTTATATTTTGAGTACACCATATGCAAACAATGAATAGGTCATGTAAGCCATTATTGACCTGTGGTCAAGCCATGTGGAAGCCGATATAATGTTTAAACCATTTGGGTATGGTTGTTTTTTTAAATCACTGGCTTTCCACATTAAACCTCTCTGTTTTTCTCATGCAGGTGCCATTGGGCGTGCCCCAGTTTTATTGAGAGCACCCAGCAGAGTAGCTTTACAAGTATCTTGTCTAGGACAAACGGCTGCTTTGGCACTCTCCATCCTGAAGCTCGGTCTTCAGGGTTAATTGCTTGAAAGTCCTAGCAGGACTTAGGAGGGTGTGGCTCTCAGAGCCAGAGAGTAGCACTACAGTCCTAGGCTTCTTTCCTCACTTCAACTTGTGCAGCTTTCAGAAACTTGTGCTAGAGTAAGACAATGTTTTGTAGCCATATATTAGTGCTGACACGTATGACAAAGGTATCCCTGCTATGATGGCATGTTCAAGGGGTAATTGCAAAAGGACTATTAAAGAATATTGCAAAAAATTTACACAAACACACCCACACACACAGACACAGACACACACAGACACACACAGACACACAGACACACACACACACACACACACATATATATATATATATATATCTCCAGATACACACACAGGTATATATTTATATTCCTTCCATAAGCAATTCTTCAGGATTCATAGGGCTATGGATTCCTTTATCTTCAAAAAAGGGAGAACAATAAGATAATTATTCTGAAAAGTGCTTAATGTCCTTTAAATAACATTAATAAAAATAATTGTAATTTGAATAGTATTCTAACTACAAGAGCAAATTCATTTTAAATAGGAGTCTTTCATGATTTACATTTTCTAGTCCACTGAAATCCATGGGCTTGCTTCCAACCCTCCTCTTACAAGATGACATTTAAAGGGAGGTTGCTTTTGATGCAGAAGAGAGAAAAATTACCTGTGAGAAATTCCCATTTCTGTACAATGGCTAAAAACTTCAGAAACCCTAGTTGCCTTTGTGGCCAGCTGGCCAACTTTTTGAAATGAATAAGTTTAATAAGAAAGTTGCCACTATTTTTATAAATAGGAGACAGGACTTTGACAGGACACACAAGGCAGAGATGAGCAGGTGCCAGTAGGGTGTTGAGTGGCCTTGCTTGTCCTGAAATTGTTAATACGACATCTATTCGTTAAAGATGGTGACAGTCCTAAAAGACAGCCATCTGCATATCCTCTAGCTTGCATATTTAAGGCACTTTTAGAAAAGGATTCTGGAAAAGCCAAGAATCAATCTCTTATGTATGGCTGGTGAATTTAAAAACAGTCCACATGTTTAAGACTGAAGTCTGACCTCTCCCAGCAAAGAGCCAAGTCTGTACAATAAAATAATCAAGTGAAAACAAAATTAGTTATTATAGATCAAACCCTTTCACTTGGCAAATAACGCCCCCCTCCCCAGTCTTTACCAGGAGTCTTATAGCACCATAAAGTCTTATTATTAATTGTCATGGACTAGGTGCACCAAGTTTAATGTCATCTCAATTAACTTTCATCCCAAAGAGCTAATACCGCAGTGTGTTTAGTTTTAAGGAACCATGAAAGGTTTGTTTTTCCTTATGAAAGAATCAGGCAGTACCATTTTTTCTGCAATGTACACTGGGCTGCGGCTATGGGTACATTTTGCTCCCATTATAAAGCACATTTTTCTGCCATACAGTACACAACTGGTACATCAGCTGTGTATTCTTTAATGGAGTTGAGCTGGTGGTGGAGAATTGGACATGGTGGAGCACTCCTGTGTACAAGAGTACAGTCCAGGAAAAAAAAAATTGCTTGATTCGGTGGTTTATATAAAATACCATGATTTTATTTCATTCCATTTCACATGCTGTCCACACTGTGAAAGAC